GAGAAGCTCTGCCCATATTCATATTTTTTGATAAAAAGTTTTAACTCAATTTACGGAACATCCTTGCTTAAAGCAGTTGCCATTCTAAAGGTAATTTGTTTGTTCCCCTAGTTTTTAATCAAGCCATTAGGTTTATTTTATTTTTTACTTAAAATACTGGCTTTGTCATAACTTCATGAAACGGGAGGATTAATGACTTGTAAAACCAATGACTGATCTATAAAGATCATCCTGAATTTACTTTATCCCCAGTTTGCCCTACGTGTACTCCTCCTTTCTTTGTCTATCAAAGTTCCGCTCAATGTGGCCTTCACGAGGCTGTCACATAATTTTTGGAAATGTCGAACACCTGGCGAATTATTGAGTTTAGTCATGTGATTGTCCGTTTCCTTTGAATCACGCGGTAGAGGGTCTGGCTTCAGCCTGACAGCCTTATGCTAGTCACCTGTTTTACCTTAAGACTATTTAAAGGAACGATCAATGCTAAACGCCACCTGTTAGATGGAGGTTTTTCCCGGGTGATTGCTTTGCTACAAAAGTTAAAAGATGTCCTTTCTTTACTTCTACCTTGTTTTTATGCTTCTCATGGGCTTTGTCTTTGTGATTCTTCTCCTTTTAATGCATTATTTTACATCCTGTAACAGATAGGACTTTTAAAAATGAAAGGGTTTTAAGAGTGCTTGTGGAGGCTTCATTGATCTTTGTTTCCCTAATTTACCTGATTAGCTTGAAATCACTTAAAGTGTTTACTTTCTTTTACTCTTCATTTCTATGTTTTCCCAGAACGCACCTGAATCACCAAGCGATCAGCTAGAATTACGTCACATTAGACAAACAACATGTACACCAAGTCTAGTTAACCCTTAAGCGCCAAAAGTTCGAGCCCCATCTTTTAAGCCAGTTAGATCGCACATGCACCTAAGTGAGGGTATCAGATGTGTTACAGAAGGCAATGTGTTAATAGTCTGTCTCGATAGGAATAAGGGGGTCGTACATTCTCTATCTACTTTAGCTTATTCATACCCAGCAATATTTATGACCAGTAGAGCTTAGTAAGCGCTTAAGAGGCTACTGATTATTGCAATCCATATTTCTTTTCAACGGGACCCTAGCTTGCAAGTGCTTTTGTCATGCATTTTGTCCCCATACGTTCTATTTTCTTCTGCATTTGGTGTTCTAGCCTCAGCACAAGTTAATGACAAGCACTTCGAAATATGGCTTTGAGGTGTCATATTTTTTTCTCTTCTTTCTCCCTACCCCTTTTTCTTACATTTTCCCTCCTTCTCTTTATTTTTCCTATGGATCGGTTTCTCAGAGGGCAGTAAGAAGCATGGGGTGGGAGTCCTTCCAATTTGCAGATACAAAAATGATATCTACTACTTCATCGGTTATTTTCAACTATTTCAGAAGAACAGGCAGTGCTGCCACCATACAGTCGAGTAGCCTCGAGTAAAGAGGACCCAATGGCAGTGCTGTCTGCTCTACGTTGAGTGAAAACTAAGTCTCTAATTCGTTACACACAGAGCGGTAATATGTATACTCGACAATGGAATAAAAAGGCATTTCTACTCAGCGTGAGGTCAAGCTGCAATAATATCAGGTCCCTCCAACTGATTGTCTGAGGATTTACTTGTAGC